CATTAAATATTTTTGGTCGAGTTTCGACCACTGGACCGACCTCTAGTATAGATTAATAACATCACTTATAATGAACACAAAGAAACATATTTAATCTGATGTTAATTTTTTTATTGCAGTGACCTATGAGAACTTCAGTTACGTGATATGTTTGTCCAACAAGAAGGTGTATGTGGTCAAGAAGAGGCACAGTTGGTCTCCCCCTCCTCCACCTGACAACATGGCCAACATCGGCAATCTCGTGGACTTGGATAATGGACCAGCCATCGCCTGAACACAGCACTTCCCTTCTGTCATACTTTGTATCTAATCACCTATATAGCCTACTTTGTAATTAATTGTGATATATTTTGTATATAATAAATTGTTTATCTTATATTGAGCTTTATTCTGTTATCTATCTATATATTAATAGGCAAGCATGTTTCTTTAATACCTTTTTTCTCAGCTTGTGTGCATGGGAGGGAAAATCTACGAATACTGTTGGAAAGATATATTCCTGTAGATGTACAGAATCCCTTTATAAATTAAAATAGGTTAAAAATAAAGACAACAAATTAATCTTACTAATATTATAAATGTGAAAGTTTGTGTGTTTGTTTGTTTGTTTGTTTGTTTGAAGTTCAATCACACATTAACTAATGGACGGATTGGGATGAAAATTGGCATGATGATAGCTCACATTCCCGATTAACATATAGACATATTCTTATCTCAAAAATCCTTTCGGGCTCCGCCCCAGTGGCTCTGTAGTTCACCATGTTAACCTTATGAGTATTCATGTTTAAAGGGGATTAAATAATTTTGTCAGCTGTTTCAACTTAAAAGTTGGTTCTATGGTATGCAAAAGCATTAAAAGTTATAAGATTTACCAACAGGGTGCAGCATTATTATTTTTTTGCATTTATGGAAACAGCTAAATTGAACTAACAAAAAACTATGATAGGTATGCAATGAGAACTGTCAAAGTAGGATTGTTTACAGTTACTTTTATGTTTTTAATTTCATGAATCAATAGTGATATTTTGTGAATCTTTAATAATTTACTTCCTCTATTGTTTAGGTGAAGTGGTAGAATAGTATGGCTATGGTAGATGTGTAATACTATACACATATAGTGTGCTTTTATGTATATATACAGTAAATTTAAAGAAGCAAATTTTATCAAATCGCGTCCTCCCCCATTGCAAACGCAAAGCTTGAGTATAACTGCAATAAGCATTTTATACTTATATGCCAATCCCGTACGAAGGACGGGTACTCTGCTAGTTTAAAATATTTAAAAAAACCAACATGGGCCTTATGGGTTGCCATGCTGGTGACGCAATATAAACAGAAAATCAAAACAAAAGGAAGAAATTACAATAACATGTTTTATTTACAGCGTGGGGTGGAAATAGAGAATTATTAGATTTCAAAACGTTTTCATCATGATCAGCCATAAGATCTGAAATTATTTCTCTAGGGTATTCTTCAATACGCGACTTGGCTAAGGTTCTGGGACATGTATGAGTTGGTTGGAACTGGTTGGGTTGTTAAATTTTGTTTCCTGACGATCGATTGTAGCTTCTCTCACTTGCAGATTCTGTATATATTTTCGCTTTAGACGTCTTCCGCGCTTCATTCTTAATCTTGAAAATTATCCTTGAAAACATTTAACACTAATAAGTATCTAATAAACCAATCTAAAATAACTATTCTTACAAATATTTAGCCCAAATAAATAACCAACACACTTATTTTTGTTTACAAGTCAAATCAAATGATGAAAATAAATTACCGGTACCAGCTGTTTTGTTAAATCTAGCTACATTAAAGTATTGACAATAACATGGGCACTTTCAAGGGTTGTAGGTCGAAAACAGGATTTTTCCCAGCCTTGGGACCAACTCCCATCGATTTCTTGAGGCGAAGTACTCCACAAAAATACAAAACAAAAAAATAAATAAATAAAACTTTGCCCGTACAGCGCTTATTTTAGAGTATATAGGATGTCGATTGAATGTTGAGGACGAGGAGATATTGGCACATTAGCCAATATCAGTACTGTTACTGGCTATTAGACTGGTTATTAGCGAATTTCGCATATAGGGAATAAGCTGGGTCTCATGGTAAGACCTAGACCTGGGACCGATTTACTTTTTTGTTTTGAGGTCCCCATAGGCCAAAAACACCCTCCGTTCAAATTCATGTATATATATTTTTGTGTGTCCGTTAGCGCAATAACTCGGGCAAAAATGATCCGATTTTGATGAAATTTGGTACAAACAAGTAAACACGTTTATTCGAACGAGTTTTTCCCATTTTGACTCTAAAAACATAAAATTTCACAATTTCTTTCCAGACCATTTTGTAGAGCTAAAAAAAGAAATAATTTTGAATGTTGAAGTGTTGTTGTATGCCTAACGTTTACGGAGATAATTTTAAAAACTTTAAATTAAAAATTCACATATGTTATTCTTATGGAGAATAATAAACTGTTGTAGTTTGCTTGTTTATGGATATATTTTGATCAAATTTGGCAATTTTGTTTATTTCATTCTAAGCTATCAACATTTCAATAAAAAACACCCCTCAATGCCATCTCTGTAGCAGCAAACCTAGGTACTCATTAAAATTAATGTTATTTAAACAGGAAATTAATCTAACAATTTTCAGGGAATATTTTAGAAGAAATCCAGCCAGGTAAATGGAAATTCGCTTAGCCTGCACTGCAGGTTTGCTGCGGGGAGGTCATATTAAAATATTGATGGCTGCATTTTTGCAAACCAAGCCAGCTCTCTTAACTTGATAAAAGAAAAAATTATGATTGGTAGCATATTGAATTGCAATAACCTAATACGCCTTGACCCTAAACCACTTATGTATTATTTACAATTAGAACAACAACAAAATGTCAAAAGAAAGTGAGTGACAAATGAGAATGTTCAATTTATCCTCCACAATGAATCTGCAGCTCTGTTTGGCTTTGGCAACATTGTCCACTTGAGTGGACGACCTTGAATACCTCTACGGACACGACAAGCCACGCTTTAACACGCATAGCACGCCAGTCAACTGCGCAAAACTATCCATTATTTCATAAATTGTCCTTTAAAGTCGTAATTCCTTTCTAAAGGGAACTTTCCATTTTGTTTGTTAAAACCTAATTATGATAATTGTTATATAGGTGGTTTCTTATAATATTATTAGAAAATTTTATGGCTGTTAAAGATATTAAATATAGCACTTGATTTTCCAAATTGAATTTCTTCCAAAATTTCTCAACTTGTTGAGGAATTGTTCCTCTTGATGAGTAGTCCATAACTTAAAATTTAAATATTTTATATTTTTCCGAATAATAGGGGATAGTTTTCTTATAAATATTTACCTTTTTCTTCATGGACTTCCTGTGGCTGATTTTCATTTGTCTCATGACGAACTGTTGGGTCTATAATGAGACCGAAATCTTTCCCCTTGTCTATGACAATGATGTCACTCCGCCTCACAGAGCCCTCGTCTATAGCTGTGACCTCTTCATAGACCTCGTAACTTTTCTTTCTGAATTATGATCAGCTATGATTTTTCTGATCGTATGGTGGCGGGTATTCCGTAGAAGACTACTAAATGGGCACATTCCAAGGACGTGGGCAAGAGTTTCAAGAATAAATTTCTCAGATACAGGACAATGCCTGCACTGGTTCCTGTCCCTGGATCTCCCATGAAGACTTCTAAGAGGAATAACGTCTCCGACCATTTTCAAGTACGGTACCTATTGTTTGAACTCAGCTGTACCATTTTTTTTGTTACTCTTTCAATTTATTACCTTTTTAAAATCAGGTGTGATTATTTGTTTGTATTACTGTATTATGTTTTGTTTATTTCAGCTTTAACTTAATACAATAGTTTTATTCATACCTACTTATTAAGTCAAAGTCATATGGGGTGAAGCCCGTGGGTAGTAGTTTTATTAAACTATTGTTAGATGATATAATATATAATATGTTTTTTTTCTGTTCGGTATGCTTATGTATAATTAGCTATTTGTACCGTGGCGACTTACAATAACCTCTGTGTTGTAAGATTTTCCAAGTTGTTTCATAGGCTACAGCCTGGAGATAAGAACTGAGCTATCACTTAAGTTGTATGCAAACTCATAAAGCTAATGAGCTATAAATATCTGTTTACAAACTGTAATCTTCTCCCTCTGTTTCGCTTCGTCGCGGCGCTTTAGTTTTCATGCGTTCCGGTTCTTTTCTTATAGTAGATGTAAAATACCTGGGTTTTTATGACTGCGGGTGAATTTACCGGGGTAAAGTAAAATACCCATATTTCATAAATACCCGGGAATTGATGATTATTCAACTGCAGCTAGCTGTTACGGCTATTGGTGTAGACAATCAGGCCGGTGACGTCATTTGCTTATGCGTAGGCCTATATGATCCATACCATACAGTTTCTATGTTCTAATACTTCGTGGTTTTGATTTTTTTTTCAACAAAGATAGCATATCCTCGTGAAAACGTGTTTCAGTGTTTGTGATAGTCAGCCTACCCTCTATATTTTTTCTATGTTGTTTTATTTAAGGATTTGTTATTGTTTTGATTAGTTTACAGCTCTCTAATCTCTACGTAACTTATGTGGTTTTACAGCTTTGTCTTTGGCCGTGTTTTGCAATAATCCTGTTAAGCTTTTAGGTGAACTTTTAGGTTATCTCTTGGGTCAGATTCCAAATCCAAATCTCGAAACGTCATGAAAACTGTGATTGTTAAATAATCACTATGCACGCAATACACTCAGAGCCTCAAATAACATAAACCACAAAAATAATCAATCTACACCATTTCACACGGTATCCCATGATTTCTCCACCAACCAGACAATGATCGGACAGTAGTGGCACTTTTTTTACTACGCTACCTTGCCCATCTACAAGTAGACCGGACAGTAGTGGCACTGTTTACGCTACACTGCCCATCTGCCCCTCTCCTCTACAGTATCCTATCAGTGTGAGAGTGACGCTAGGCCGGTGTAGTCGTGTCAGTGTGTGTGTCTGTGTGGGTGTACAGTTAGCGCACGCGCACGCCCGTGCTACCCTTCATTCAGCCGGGCCCTTCTGTTGCTGTTGTGTCACAATCTAATCTCGTACTGGACCTCGTAGATTGCAGGAATACACAGTAAAACGTAAGTTTTTCATTGTACGTAGAATTGTTTGATGGCGTCCTCCATTGTGATTCGTTGGCGGGTTCGTTTTGCGAATTGCTCAACTTCTGGACCTACCTCAACATTTGAGGTGTGCTCTTGTCGTGGAATTTGACGTTTGGAATTAGAATTAGCCGTATTTTTAGGTCCAATTGCATGAAGTAAATATATTCGCACAACAACATCCTGTTAATTTTTTGTTAGGGAAAATTGCTTACATTGCACCTAGTTTTTATAATAAAATAACAATATATAAACGAGAATGTATCTTGCAAACATCAACAATTAATACAGTTTGTAACCCTAATGTTTGTAAAAGTTGTTTACGTTTAACAACAAACATACTCGTTCCGACACGTTATTATCTTGACTCATCAATAATTAATTGCATCCGATATCGGTTTAGCTATCACTCAATTACTGTTTAAAAGTTAGTTTTTAACTCTAGGTATTCCTTTTAAACTTTGAAACACTATTACTTAGATCTATTTAACTTGAACATGAACTATATGTTTCATGTGTTCAAATAAACTGTATTATGAACTATTACCGTACATAAAATAGGACATTAACATATTACCATTGATATTACTAAATCCATTTGAAAATTCAATTTCAAATATACCCTGATACCCGTTTTGTTATTGGTACAGGTTCATATTTGGTAGTCCTTGTCGTATTCTTGTATGTACTATAAAATGATGTATTCTTGTTTTGTGTATACCCTGTGTATTTCCAATCTGTTAGTCGTCTCTGTTCATGCTCAATGCAAGGGTAGATGCATCGGAAGCCGATAATTTACATGAACATGGATTGTTCAACAACCCACCCTACCCCAAACGTTTACATTGCTATTGTGTCACGTGATTGACTCATTGCATAATTTAATTAGGTTGTCGACTGTGTTATAACTATAATATGTTATAATATGTTATAACTGCGTCAAAACTTGTAATGCGATGTGGGTTGACCGTTGAAATGACAGGTAATAGTGTGTAGAGTAGTTTTATAAATCTTATCTTACTGGTAATGATTGCCGTTAATCAAGATGGTAGTAAGTTAATAATCGATTCAATTAATATCAGTACAGTTACTGTACTTGCAACAATGGTTGCGTAATTGTTTCTGTTCCGACGAGGTATTAGGACGATTAATTTGGCGTATACACTACTATGCAACACGGATTTAGTATTTTTTCCGATGCTTGTTAAAAAGTAAAATGTATCTCGTTGACTATGCACTAGTTTTAATATCTCGTTACCAACAGTCAAACTGTTTCCAATTTTATCTCTCATGAAGTTGAAAACCATCCAAGGTTGACAAACTAATTCTCATGCAATAAAAGTAATATGGAATTTCTCAGCTGAAGGAAATGCCAAACTCATCAGAAAGTACAAAAAAAAATAACTAGAAACTTACGCCGAATATAAAATTGTATAACTTGTTGTAGAACATAAATTTTTAGTAAATTGTTATTCAGTTTATATAGTTTGAAGATCGCGTTGTCGTAATAGCATAAGCAATGTTACACAAATCTCTAATTTGCTGTCAATTGATGGTCTTCTGCCGATTGATGAAATAATTTTTTTTAAACATTCGTTTACAGATTTATTTGTTTAACCTTAATCTTACTGTGATTGTGATACGAATACATATACAGCGATTCTACTGTTTTAATAAGAAACGAATACATATACAGCGATTCTACTGTTTTAATAAGAAACCAAGGACTGTTTTGCAACACGTTTTATACGTCCATTCTATTTATAAGCACAAACGGGTTTCTTATTTTGTATAATGCATAAATACATGTGCACGGTATTTATATTTATATTCTGTGGACACACTTGTTGGGCTAGTTGATAAACTATTTCAAACATGAAACATCTATACTTTTCGCCAACATGAGTAAATTACAGCAGTTACAGTCAGCAAATCTCAATAATAATTATTCTACACAATGATACCCCCAAAAATAAAAATACAAGCTTCGACATGTCATTATCAACAGACACTTCGTGGAAAGGATTTGCAACATTCGAATGGAGATTGTTATAGGAGGTGGGTAGGGGGAGGGAAGCTATTTTCAAACAAATCTTCTCTGCGTAACGAGATTGGGCAGTTGATCGGCTTCGCGGTCTTGACAAAAAGACAAAGCCTACAGCAACCAGCAATACTGGAAGAACTTCGATAATTTCAGCTTTACATAGCAAAATGCTTCTGCTCAATCAATACTCCACTTTACATTCATAGGTCCAATGACGTGGTTAATTAAAATTTCGTTTTATGTTTCAACGCCATTGGCATTTTAAAGGTTTTTTTTTAAGAGATCCTGAGTATTACTGTAATCATTCATAGCTTCAATCTGTGTAAGAATGATATTAGTGTAAACTATTGCATACTAAATGCTAGAAAACAATTCATTTTTATAACCGTGATCGCATCGCTAGCCATATAGATACGAAGCGATTGATTCTAATTGATGGAAAATGACTGAAGTAATTTCCAGGGCTATTACTCAATTTCCTCGAGACAATGCGTCAGTGTCCAAGTTATTGTGCAGTGTGCACTATCAAGTAAGTGAATCATGTAGTTTCATATCCACAATTTTAATTTTTCTTGTACTGCATCATCACACAAAAATGATTTAGTCATCATGGAGTCGTTATTTTTAAGTTGTTAATAGGTAGAATACATTTTGCCGAGTGCTTTGAACTTGAGTCTTTAATTCATCACTACAAAAGTTCGGAGTTGAGAATCTTTTTGCTCAATCTTCTTGTATAGTCTCTTTCACTTCTGATTTTTGCCATGCTATCGTCAATACACTTGACCTCCAATAAAATAAAAATTGAATATCTGTAAAGTTCTATTTTGGACAGGATCTAGGAAACGATTGAAAACTTAAACTTTACTTTATTGGATTACATGTAAACCATTAATTCGTATTGATATGGAAGAAATACAATACGAATATGCAAGGAAATTTGTTTCTGGATTATTTACTCACTAATCGAAAGACAAACATTTTCCAACGATCAAAGAATTTGTGTGTCAGCTATCAAAGTGCAAGCGTCCGAAGAAAAACAAGCTGGAAAACAACTGACAGACTTTATGAAATGTATTTATATGTTATACAATTTATAACATATATTTATAACATCGTTATAATCTATAGATCAATTTCGTATGGTGCGTGGTCATTAATAAAAAAATGTAAACAAATGAACTTTTGGAATGTTGCTGTGTCCAAGAGTAGCAAGAAACTTGTGTTGATTATTAAATTACAGGGCTACAAATTAACAAAATTGATTCTCATAAGTTATAAAGCTTATAAAATAGGTTATACTTGATTCAAAGTATAAGTGTTATATGATTGACTATATTAGTCAACCAATGGTAATTACATGACAAAGGAATTATTTAATCATTAACAACCAACTACTGTGGAGAATTTAGTGTAAAAGGTTTCCTGAATCATAAGAAAAAAACAACAAAAACAAACAAACAAAAAACATAGTTTTAGTGTTCTCTAAGACAACGGTTTTTTAACATTTCCCCGACAACACGGTCATGAAAGCGGGATTACGCTGTATTTTTCATCTTCATCGTATCGAGATTTCCATTGCTTCAAACTTTCATAGCACAGATTGCCTAAGTTCTTATGCCAGATATTGCATTCTCTACCTATATCCATGTCACGTTATTCTCTTTTAAAATACCGTTTATACTCATCTCACTTTTGTTACAGCTCAGTTAAATCATTGACTATTGGATACTAAAGGTTAAATCTATAGCTGTCCATTAAAAATAAAGTCTGCCATTAGGCTTAAGTATTTTTATTTTATTTATGAAAACAAACAACAAATAAAACATATGTTTTGCCAAAATAAATCAAAATTATTTAGCTATTGATAACTGTGTAGAAACAATTTCAAACTCAATATTTTTATTCAATATAATAGAGGACATCTTCAAAACTTACTTATATATAGTAGTTTTCAAATTGGAGTGTTGATGAAATGCAGTACAAACTACATTACTTAATTTAATTTTGAAACGTGTTCGTTTGCAAGTTTAGTGATTTTTAGAGCTTGGAACTAGAAGTCATGAAAGAACCAATATTGCTCAATAATAAACCTAAAATGGACCAGAAGGTAATTGTTTTCCTTATGAATCAATTTGACGTTTTGTACATTTTTAAATTACATTTCAACTTAAATAACTTAATTAAGGATTTCCTATCTCAATCAGAAAAAAAAACATTTAAAATCAAACTTATGGCTAATCAAACTACTAACATAGAAATTGGATGAGTTTAACAAAGCTAAACTAGAAATTCGATTAAGATACTTTTAACCATGTCCAAAATAATCTACTTGTTCTCATGATTAATGCAAAGCTAGGGATATGATTAAAGTTATCTAGGCCTACATGTTTCCAATTTACAGTTTAACTCATCAATTTCTTATTATATTACTCACGATACAGAGAGCTTGTGACTGGTTTGAAGTTCATTTTAAATATGAATTTTGTTGCTAGGTAACTTATTTATGATTTTTTGTCCAAAAGTTATCTAAAGGTACGCGCGCACTGCGCCGTCACGGCCGTCACCGCCGTCACCGCCTTTTTCAGGGGGGGTGCGCGCACTGCGACGGCACGGCCGGCCGTCACGGCCGTCACAGCATTTTGGACTGATGTATTTTGCAATTGAGTTGTTTTGCTGTGAGCAGTGAGAGTGTGGGAGCTATGGATATCGACGAAGACGTGGTGGTAGTTGGATTAATTTTAGGAGAAGAGGAAGAGGAGAGGAAGAGGAAGAGGAAAGCGAGATTTTGGATACATAATATAAATAGAAAACGACTAGGTTTTAAAGAATTTCACACATTATTCCCCGATCTTGTAGAGGACGATTACAAATTTTTCCAGTACTTTAGGATGACCCATGAAAAGTTCGAATGTCTACTTCGAAACCTAGAGGAGAG